CGATCTCCCCAAAACCCCAAAACCCCATGGGCATCTAATCATAATCACTTAGGAGAGTTTGAATAATATAAATTACCTAATAGAAATCTGTGTAGTTATAAATAATCATTTTGCATTCTAATTTTTCAATAAATATATTGCTGATATTGTATTCTATACTTTTAGGCTAATCACATAAAATCTTAAGGTATCAATATTTATTTTGATTCAACAAAAGCATGGTCATCTTGCAATCAAGAAAAATCATTATTAGTAATAAGTGTGTCTTTAGAGATTAACTAATCAATACTTATAGTTCCTACAGTTTCCCATTCAAGAGAGACATTTTTTTCTTCTTCAAAATTTTAAATAAGGAAATTTTCCTTTTTTAAGTTTGACTGGAATTTATTATCTAGTAGAATATTATCTTTATCAACTTCATCGTTCTTTTCTTCATTGGTTCTCTCAATTTAAACTAGCTTTAATGCATTAGCACTCTAATCTCTAATCCTCTTCTTTTTATGAGTAATTTTATTTTTATGGAACCTTGAAGAAGTAATTGTAGTCATATTATTAAGTATTTACACACTCTATTTCTCAGATGTTTTCTTGAAAAGACTCAAATATTGCTTCTCATTTTCTTAATCAATAGTAACACCAATCTATTTCAATTCATTATCATTGATTTCTTGCTCTAACAGGTTCTCAAGGTTTTCATAGCTTTGCATTCTAACACTGTGATTGAAAGTTTAAGGCATGTTAGGATTATAAATAAGATTCGATAAATTATCATCGAATGAAATTTTTAGTTCCTAGTTTAAATTAGAAATGGGTATTTCATTGCTTTATAATTCAGCCTTGGCTGCATGAAGTTTGACTTTTCTTTGCTACAGATTGGGTGTCAAAGATGATTTTCTGTATTTTTCCGACATAAAATCAATTTCAGTTTTTATAGGATTAAATTCTCCCAATTTTTTCAAATAGTTATAATCACTCAAATCAGTTTAGAATTTTGATTGATTAGCTGATTTTTCGAAGTTACTTAGGAATTCATGATTGTTTGAGAGAAATTAGTCATATGACATATCTAACTACTAATCAGAAAAGTTAATATCAACCTCCAAATCATCATCTATCTCTTTCTCTTTACTGAATCTTTTTCCCTGTTCAATTAACTTTTTATTAGCTCTTGATTTTATTCTAACGAAACGCTTATATTTATTAGGATCATATTAAACTTTAGGCATAATACCCGCAGCATCTAAAATTTTACTTATTGAGAGATACAATTGTAGTTTTTCTAATGACTTTTTGTTCAATACTAATACTCCATTATCACACAATTAGTCAATTTATTTCAGAGTTTCAGAGAACTGCTCTCTCATAATATCATTATCTTCTACAATTATAGCATTTTCTAATATCATCTAATACTATTATTGATTTCCACAGAGACAAATCATAGTATAGAGTTTTCCAAACTTCTTAATGAGCAAGTTCTTAATTTCTCTTATCATTTTATAGAGCCAAAAAGTAAAAAATGCAGCATTTGAAGTAACTATTAAAAGGAATAACACCAATTTAGTGTTTTATGATAAACTAACTAAGAAATGATTTAAATGAAAATTAATTACATTAAAAGCTATCTTAAGAAGTTTCCTACGATCCATCAATATTGTTTATTGAGACGATAAAAAATATTCCGCAGTAAATTGTTGTCAGAGAAGTAATAACGGATAATGTTTCAAGGTCATTTAATGAAATTGTCTAAAAAGGTCTTAGAGTTAGATTCAAAGCCATAAAGCCTATCAGTAAAATAAGAACTATCATTGCTTGAGTTATGATACCGTATTGAAGCAAGAAAACTTGAATGAAAATAAGGAATATCTTTCTATACATAATAACTATCTCCCAATAGTAATACTTTCTCTTGTATCCTCGAAATAAAAACCCTAGCTTTTATCTTGTTATTATCTGATCCAATTTCTTTTTACTTCTTAGTAATAAAGCTAAACCGAAAAAAGGGATACCAAGACCCCATACTATCATTGCTGGAAGCGCAACTGCAAGTGCCCAGAAGAGGTGCTATCCTTTGTAGCATTCTATCTCAAGATCATTTTTAACTCTTTTTTCACCATCAATATCAACACAACTATAATAGAGGAAAAATCATAATAAAATAGCTTACTTGAATGCGTTAAACACATATTTGATCAAATTTGGATGAATTAGAAATAAAAGAATTACCATAGAAGATACACTTTTTGTATCTCTTATTTCTTTTTGATGGGCCTTTCTGAGAATAATCATCCAAATAATGTTGCACAAAATTAAAAGCATAAAAGGCATTAAGGCAAAAAGAGCCAGCTTGAAATAGAATATTCGGATAAAGAAATGCTAGTTATTCTACTAAATCTAATTTTAACTCTACACTTTACTGTTTAAAAAGCAATCAAACGAGAAAATTTGATCAGAAGCCTCGCCTATACTTCTGCTAGTTTCAAAAAACTCGATGACAATATCTGGCCATTTAAAGTTGAACGTTGAAGTCAGTAATATAAGCTGAATATGGTTAAGAAGAATTTTCTAATAGACACTAGTTATATTTTTCACATCTCCTGCTCCATTGAGAGTTATTTTTATCAAAATTACCACTCCTGTAATTACTCCTATCTATTTGAATGAGGTTAAAGAATAAATTTCCATACAAATATTGCTGTTAATCTTAGGATATTTTGGGTCTTTTCAGGGCATTTTAGGCATTAAAAATTTGATGATGAATAACTTGGCTAGCAATCAGTACATAGTATTCCTTAATATCCGGTTCTACAAGAGCCCTATGGATTATTCTCTGGTTTAACTAATCCTCTAGTCCAATAAATTAAGTCTAATTATGCTTACAAGCATGCCTCTGTTATAATGCATTATATAAAATTTGAAGTTAAATTGCTTTTTCTCCAATATCCTGGCTAAGGACCTATATCTGAGCCTCCTCTACAAATTGCAACAGAAGATGGACAAGGTCGACATTATCCTGGTATTGTCATCTTTACTAGTGAGAATGATTTACCCACTGGGCAAGGATCACAACTGAATAAAGAATTAAATATAATATGAATATTCTTACGCTCCTGATTCAGTAAATCTTTCTCCAATGCTGCACTCTCGTAATTCTATTTCAAC